TTTTTTATTTTTTCGCATAAAAGCTTGGGATTAATGGACTAATAGCTAGTTTAATAATCCTTTTAGTTTTCAGTTTTATTAAAAATTAACCTTAAACTTGAAAGAACTTTTTGTATATCTTTTTTAATGAAAAATAATAATAATTTTTAAATAAACAATTGAAAATTTGAAATTACTAAAATATTTAAAATATACACAAACATTATTATATTCTATTGTAGGTTGACCTAAAAATCTATATTCCTATTTAGTTTTCAATTCAATTTTAATTGGTTAAGACTTGAGACTTTTAAGTTGTCGGTGAATGAACTAATAGTTGGGTTCAATCCCTTTATTTTTTTTTTTTGTTTTATTAAATATTAACCTTAAACTTTGAAGAATTTTTTGTATAACTATTTTAATTAATAATAATACTAATAATAATTAATGAAGAGGTATGTGGTGGTCAAATCTTTGGAGCTGATAAAAAGAAAAACATTTGAATGACTTAATGCAAAAATTACGCGTTGTAGCTTTACTTACCATGATTGGTGTTCTCAACCAAGAATATGTGCATGAGGAATTGGTCAACATCAGAAGGCAGTGAGAGAATTTCGTAGGTTGCAGTGTGGGTGTAGTGTTTGATGGTCTTGAGAATATTCATATGAGTAATGTTTTGTAATTTTGTGTGTAATATAGGCAGAAATACTTTTTGTACTTTCCTTTATTAATAAATACATTTTGTTTGGCTACTAAAAAAAATTAATTAAGTAATTAAAAATTTAAGATCATTAAAATATTAAAATATACACTAACCCTATTATATTTTATCATAGATTGACCTAAAAATCTGCATTACTTATTAGTCTTCAATTCAATTTTAATGCGTTGAAACTTGAGACTTTTGAGTTGTTGGTGGATGGACTAACGGCTGGATTCAATCCCTTTATTATTCAGTCTTATTAAACATTAACACTAAATTTGGAAGAATTTTTTGTATAACCGTTTTAATGAATTATATTGTAAATAGGAATGCTTAGCGGCAAAAAATAAAAAATCTAAACTGGATAAATATATTGTTAGTTCTATATGGCTGCAATCTCCAACTGTCACAGAAGCCGTTTCTGGTAGCTTTGGGTATCTGATCATGTTCCATGTGTGATAAATCTAAAGACCTGCATATAGACCTTTCAATTTTTGTGATGCTTGGATAAAGCATCCAAAATTTATGAGCTGTCTGAGGGAGGTATGGCAGGAACATGTTTATGGCTGTCCTATGATTAAACTTGTTCACAAACTGAAAGGGTTAAAATCTAAGCTGAGGCAACTACACAAGGATCATTTTAGTGACATGGAAGGTAGAATACAAAATTCTTTCACGCTAGTTTGAGGACCAGAGGAGCCAACACTCATATCTCATCTATTTGCAATGAAGCTGGGAAGAGGTTAGTTGAGGATGTGGTTGTGAAATTCTATATGGACTTATTTGGGAAGTCTGCAAGGGAGTTTCTGTGAGGCTTTACCTGTGACATTAGAAGAAGTTAAAAACGCAGTGTTTGCAATTGGGGATGACATAGCCCTGGGACCAGATGGATTTTCTTTGGGGTTTTACAAGGCTGCATGGAACATTATACATGGTAGGTTGAAAGAACAGTGATGGATTTTTTTGAGTCTGGGAAATTATTAAAACAGTTGAATGCAACCAACATTTGCTTGGTTCCAAACATTCCCAATCGCAGTAAAGTCAGTGATTATAGGCCCATTGCATGTTGCACTGTGATTTATAAGGTTCACTCAAAATTTATGGCTAATAGACTGCAGAATGTATTGAGTGAGATAATCAGCTTAAGTCAAGGTGCCTTTGTGAAGGAAAGATAAATGGTAACCACTATTTACTGGTTAATTACTAAATATCATAGGAAGAAAGGAGCTGCGGGGTGTTTGATGAAGCTGGACCTCTGAAAGGAATATGACTCTATTGAATGGGGATTTTGTAAAACAACTAATGACTGGTATGGGATTCCCTGACATGTTTATCCAGTGGGTGATGAAATCTGCATCAACAGCTCAGTTTTCAATTTTGATAAATGATGCTACCTGTGGTTATTTCAGTGGGAAAAAAGGGACTTCGACAAAGAGATCCCTTATCCCCTTATTTGTTATTGAAATGGAGTACTTATCTCGTTTATTAAGGGAGGTCGACGAACATGATCAGTTACAGTTACCATCTCCACTGCAAAGAACCGAAACTCACCCATTTGATTTTTGCTAAGGACTCAATGAAGTTTTCCAAAGCAGATAGACATTCTCCTAGTATTTTTAAAGGGTTGTTTTGAGGAGTTCTCTGCTGCATCTGGGTTGACAGTGAATAATGACAAAAGCCAGGTTTTTATTGCTGGTGTAACAGAAGCTTTGAAGCAACAAATTGTGGCAGAGCTTGGATTCAATGAAGGGAAGCTACCAGTGAGGTATTTGGGAGTCCCCGTTATTTCCTGGAGGTTAGAGGCAGTGTTGTTTCATCCTCAAGTTTTCTGGTGTAACATATTTGTTCTGCCAGGTAGTATTATCAAGGGCATTGAAGGCTATTGCAGGAATTTTGTAAGGACAGGGGACTTCAGGAATTTCGTCCTCAAGTTTTCTGAGCAAATCTCCTAGTGGCTGACTGGAGGAAGGATGGGCAGTGGTGTGTACCTAGCAGCTTTGACAGCAGGTATCCAACATTCCAAATCTGGAAATGCATTTCTGTGTTGCTTCCCATAAACACAACCTTCACAAACATCATCAATAGGAACAACAGAGGGCAAACCATAAACCATCTTTTTCTGATTCAACAATTTCAGCCCATTAAAATGCAAATGCCAATATCTCAAATGCCATAACTTGAAGTCATCTTTAACATTAGCGACAAGTGCAAGGTCATTCAAACATGAGATCTCAAGTGGAAACATTTTATTTTTAGCCATGGGAATCTTAGCAAGAGGCATATCAGATTTACTACACTTGATTTCACACAAGCCATCATGAAATTCAACCAAATACCCATTCTCTACCAACAGACCCACACTAAGCAAATTATGTGCTAAGTTAGGTATGTAATAAACATCATGAATCAACTTTTCGATACCTGACTTGGTTCTAATTGCAATTGTTCCCTTGCCTTCAATTTGCACCTTTTCGTTGTCTCCAAGCCAAACTGTCAGCTTCACTATCTCATTGATATTCTGGAAAAGGCTTCTAACACCTGTCATATGATTACTACATCCACTATCAAGAAACCAAAAGTCAGAATTGGTCACATTTGCCAAACTGTCAGCTTGACTATCTCATCGATATTCTGGAAAAGGCTTCTAACACCTGTCATATGATTACTACATCCACTATCAAGAAACCAAAAGTCAGAATTGGTCACATTTGGAATTAAACAGGTGAGGAACAAGTTCTCTTCAACTTCTTTTTCTTCAACAAAGTTTGATTAATATTTTGCTTTGCCTTCTCCCAACAGTTAGCCTCGATGTGCCCATGTTTCTTGCAAAAATGGCACTGCTTCCCCTTATAATTCTGTTTCTGGTTGCCTCTTTCTCCATTCTTGTACTTCTGACAAGTTGAGCCTCATCCCCCTTGGCCTCGTCCACGACCACGGTTGACTCCTCTACTAGTAGAGCCTTTGTGATAATATTTCTCCTGGCTAGAGATCTCTACCTTTGTTTGAAAGGCTTGCTCCAAGTTCTTCTCTGCAGACCTGCTCATTCTCTCTTCATGTGCTAAAAGTGAGCCCTTCAATTGATTAAGAGAATAAACAGAAAGATCCTTTGACTCTTCAATAGCAGCGACAACATGATCAAACTTATATGGCAGACACCTCAAAACCTTCTCAACAACCTTACGATCATCAACTTGATCACCATAAGTTTCAATTGATTAATAAAAGATTGAGCCAGTTACTGCTTGCCGCAATACAAGCAATGCCTTTGCGTCCTTCTTCCGAAGATCCTTCACCTTTGCTGATGGTGACTTCTCGGCTTCGACATATCATTCTCCACAAGATCCCACAGATCTTGTGAGACAAAGAAAGTCTTCATTTTAATACTCTGAAAAACATCCGGAAAACAGAGTTCTTTCCATCGAATATTGGCACCAAGGATTAGGACAAATTCAATGAATTTAAATCGCTGGCCATGACGAAAAACAGCTACAGCTTCTGAGATCCCCTCGCTTCAGTAATGGTCTCAACTTCACAAGAACACTAATCGAACCTGGCGCTCTGATACCACAATTTGTTGGAGAAGAACAGAAAATGGAGCAAGGATAATTAAACTTGAAAAGTAGAAGTAGATAACAAAGTGATTGAAGAGAGAAAAACTTTCTAGATGCTTCAATTCATTGAAAAAGCATACAAATATATAATGGAAATCTAAGTAGTGGGATTGTAACATGATACCCACGTATTGTACTCTAACTGAAATCATGGACTAAACTGACTCAACAAAAACTCCTAAAAATAAGCAACTAGAAAAACCAGAATTTGCAAGAGTTTTCAACACAATTGAGTACTAATCAGATTCTATTGCACTTTCTTGTATTCTATCTGGACTGAATGTGCAAATGGAATCGCAATCACTCTGAAACCAGATTCCATGATAACCATATCAGCTCCATAATCCGAAGCTCTACTTCGCATAGTGGCGGCTCTGTCCTGTATACTAACCTCGATTTCTTCTCCAGACTTACAAAAATGAGGTGCTCCGTCGCTAATGCACCGGACATGATATCTTCTTCCGCACCCAGCTCCGCGATCCCATAATCTTTCACCAGCCGCAACAGGGTACACAGACGGAGGCAGCTTCGATGAACCGAACTTATCTTCACAGGCGGTTCGCGAGAAAGGAATCGGAATATAATGCGACGCGGTTCCGATTAGGAGATTCCCGCCGGCTTGGGATGAAACGACGGGTAAGACGCTGCAAAGAACGATGAAAACAGAGATGGTCGACATGTTTGAGTTTCCGAATGTGGCGGTTCAATTCTGTCGAATTCAATCCGCCGCCGTATATATAGATACTAAAACATAAAATATTTTATGAACAAATTATATATTAAAAAATTGATTTTATGAAGTTGATGTGTATTAAATTTGATTTTTTTTTAAATTAAAATGATAATTTATATTTAAAAATTAAAATTTTAATTTAAAATTTAAAATTTTAATTAATTTTTAAATTTAAATATTAATATTTAATAGAATAAATTGTAAAATTTTAAATAAATTTTAATTAAATAAAATAAAATAATTTAAAATTTTAATTTTTTTTAAAAATTAGAATTAATATTTTTAATTTTATTAATTTATTTAAACATTTTAAATAAAATTTATTTTATTAAAAGTTTTTAAATAAGTCTATAAAAAATTATATTTTTAATATTTCACATAAAACTTAAATATTGAAACACTACGTTAGCAAAAAAATGAATATACATATTCCCTATCCTACTCAACGAGTTGAAAAGCGCCATTTGGCACAACCGTAACTTTAATCCTTTGTCACGACATACGTCAACTCAGTACCACAGTACAGAAGGAACAAAAGGCATTAATTATGACGATTAGAAGTAGCACCACTAATCGATTTCTTTTTTGGTATTTCCCACCAAACCCATGTATGGCCCCACACTCCAGTCTGAGTAAAGTCGTTAACTAGTGGGGTTTTTTTTTTTTTTTCTGAATTACCTGTTCAAATTTCATGCGATCTCATTTTTTATATTTTTTATATTATGGAATATGTATTAATCATTTTATTTTCATAAAAAAAAGCTATCCTTGGATGTGCGAGATTTGGTCATTGTGCTTTTGTGCATGTGCAATATAGGGTAATAATCATTATTTTTTAATTTAATATATTTTATAATATATTTATTAAAAA